GTAATGATAATAATGGAAGTAAAAATAACAAAAGAAAATATGAAGATGATGACTATGATGATGTGAGATGAGGAAAAGAAAAGAAAAGAAAGAAAAGTGGAAGAGAAATTGGGATCAGAGAGTGATAAGAGGAAGAAGACAAAGAGAAACATCTGGATTCGCTTCAAAGCCTCAAAGTTCCAGCAATGGCTCGTCACAGTGAAGCTTTTAATCAGTATGACTTCCTGTAGTCATCGTTGTTTTGGAAGTTTTAGAAACAACTTTTAAATAAAAAAGTAACTATTGCACACACACACGCACAACACACACAGACACACACGCATACACAGACAGACACACAACATATAAGTTTGTTCAGTACAGAATGTGGATCTCTCTATCTACGTAGACGGGTTGGTAGACAGACAGACAAGCAGATAGACAGACAGACCCATAATCACCTCGCACACAGCCGTTCCCACTGAGCCTCGACCAACCAACACCCGAAGCCGTTTCGACACGCGGCCGAGACACGGAGGCGAGCCCGCAACAGCACGAGCAATCTACATAATCGCGATCTACATAATTCCACGAGCTTCTTGCCTGCCTGGAATGAAGGGTCCATGAGGGCCATCTACATATACATGAGGCCGCCGGGGACTTCACTCTCCCTTCTCGCCGATCGGGTCTTGGAGGCGGCCTCGAAGCGGCGCGAGTTCGAAGCTTCACGAACTCGCTATAGGTCGCGCGGGGGGTGGGGGGGGCTGGTGGGGTGCTGTCTCGCAGGAAAGATCTTAGTCATAATGTACTTTTATATATGTATATATGTATGTGTGTGTGTTGTGTTGTTTGTTTATTTGAAATTTTCTACTAAATTTTAGTTCTGCTGACCAAAGGTTCACACCTTACAACCTGCAATGTCGTGTGCAAAACATTACTGAAGAATCTTTAAGCTGGGAGTTGCCGTGGAAGTAAAGGTTAAAAAAAAAAATCATCCTAAGTATTCGGAAATTTTGAGTAATTGAAATTTAGCAGGTGTGAAGCTATTTCTTCCTGAGGTAAAGGTTCAAAGAATCAATTATGAATCGAAAAGTGGAAAACATTATCGAGACATCGGACAAAAATGAGAAATTTCAAAGCAAACAAGTAAACAAGCAAAGAAACAAACACAGGGAAAATATAAAAATGGACAGGCAGTATAGAACAAGTAGACAAAATTCTAAAAAAAAAAAAAAAAGAAATCACGAGTAGGTGTCACCTGCACACGGATTTCTCCTTAGCGGGACTACCTTTAATGGATCCTATTTTCTGCTCGACCCTCAAGCGACCACGTGGAAAGCCTCTTTACAAAAGGCTCACACACTCGGCGGACAACGCTGCCGCCGTCGATATTATCAGCTGTTAATCTCTGTTTGGTGTAGAGTCTCTGTTAGCGTGTAACTAATGCAGTTGTGTGTATATGCTCTTGTGGAATGTCTTTTTGAAATGCCTCTCGAGTACACACACTTAAACTTACCCTTACATTCACACACACACACACACACACACACACACACACACACACACACACACACACACACACACACACACACACACACACACACACACACACACACACACACACAACACACACACACACACACATATTCATACACGTTACCTAAAGCCCCATGCTTCGCTTAGGTCAAAAACAAATGATAGTAAATAACTTCACAACTTCATGAAAACGACATATTCCCATACAAACACGAACAACACAAATAAAGCAATACTATAACCTTCAAATGAAAGAAACGAATGAATGTAAACTCTACGCTAATAGGATTATATCGAAAGGGTAAGCAGATTTAAAACGCGTCAACTTGGATACGCTCGAGACGGTGAGGAAGATCGGTTCATCACGGTTGTCATTCGACTCTTTCGAAACCATATGAATCTTTTTCTTCTCTGCCTCTTACTGCTTCGGAACAGTGGTTCTGAAACGGGTAATGAAGCGGACTACGTTGTTTACATTCTAAAAGCAGGTTTGGAAGAATTGTTTCAGGATTTAGTGGGAGTTTGGATGGCTGTTTTTTGTTGCGCATATTTAAAGTATTTCTTCTATTCATATCATCATATTGGGTGTTGCATAAAGGGATATCGGTGAATGATACATTATGAATACCATTTTATTTACTTCGTCGCTTTCCACATTTCGTTAGAACGGCCGTATAATTTTTCTAACGATTTTTTTAGGCCAGGGAAAGGAGTTACAAAAATGATTTGAAGATTTTCGTTCTTTTCCTGTTATCAGATTTCAAAGATTAAAACGAAAAGACAAATATTTTTTCCTTTCCTTTTCATTAAACGAAATTCCCCATAATCTCCATCAAAAGGAAAACACATATAACCGAAAAAAAAAGAAAAACAAGAAGAAAAAATATCAAAATGAATTAAAATACTTCTTTTCTATTTCCAGATTTCGCTTCGAAGGACAAGCATCAAAAGCAGCAGCAGAGAGACAGCAAGCACAGCAAACAAGGTAAGAGGAGAGGTCAGTGCGGGTTGAACAATGATATAGCGTAATACTCGAAGGAATGGTCTTAATTTGTAGTCTCGGCGGTATGGCCATTAACCTACTGCCACAAAACCACACATGCAGGCAAGGAAGCAGGCACACACGCCATCGTACACACATGGCCATGCAAAGTTGCTTTTGAATGGGTTGAGGAAAATATTCTTAAATTCTTTGCAGTTGTTTGTTTTCGTTCAGATGATCGTACGTGTGCTTATATACTCGTGCACTTATATCCCGAATTATCCTCTCTCTCTCTCTCTCTCTCTCTCTCTCTCTCTCTCTCTCTCTCTCTCTCTCTCTCTCTCTCTCTCTCTCTCTTCTCTCTCTCTCTCTCTCTCTCTCTCTCTCTCCACACACACACACACACACACACACACAGTCAGATTTACATACACTCAAATATACACCCACACAGGATTTCAGACAACAAGCCAACTTGCCGAGTTCCTTCCCCTTTCAACCGACGCCTTGTGCAGTGCATCTCAGGAGGGAGTAAGACTCGTCCCAGGTGCTTTAAAAAGAACTATCCTGGTGCTTTAAGTCATACCCTTATATATATATGATTTTAACATTTTTTGAAAATATTTCTGGTTCCTTAAAGCGTAATACTTCTACGTGGCTTAAACCTTTGAGAAACTTATTCTGGTGCCTTAAAGCGTACTACTTCTACGTGGCTTAAAACTTTAGGAAACATTCTTGTGCCTTAGAACATACTGCTTCTACGTGGCTTTAACTTTAATGAAACTCCATTCTAGTACTTTAATATTTCTTACTTGTATATGACCTTACCCTTAACAAGAATCGTCCTGGTGCTTTAAAGACCGAAGCCTAATATATGGCTTTGCTTTCAATTAGACACATCCTGGTGCTTGAAAACTTACCCCTTGTACATGGTTCTCTATAATTAGTACAGATCTTCACCTATAAAGAAATTACACCATTCAAAAACATACGAACGATGACAGACATGACAGATGACATAAACTAAAACACGTAACTCACCGAGGTCCGATATCAACAAGACAGAATTTTAGAAATATCTGGAAATTGACTTTGATCTATGGATGATGAATCCTTGATGTGAATAATTTGTAGGAAATGGATCAAGACAAAGAATAATAGAGAGCTGTAAATAGGCAAATGGTTAGAGAGCACATAGAGGGAGGTCATCTGGTATATAATGATATTAGCAGTCGTAATGAACATGACAATGACTGTAATAACACCGGTAACTATAGTAATCCGAATGATGACGATAATGATCATTATGATAATATAAATCATTATACTACAGCAGTTGTATATTTCTCTTTTCTCCCACGTACACCCACGGCCACACACACACATAGTCATATTTCTGCGCCTCGGACAGCTCGGCGTTCGGAGCAACACTGAAGTCGCGGGGTTTTCTTGTCCTTTTGCACGAACGTCTTATATTTTGCAGCGCGAAGGGCAACCAGGCGAGGGATTTTTTTTTCTCTATTTCAGTATTTGCGTTTATTTATTTATTTATTTTTTAGTTTTTTATTTATCTATTGTTTTTTTTTTAATTCTTTCCCATTTTTTCTTTTATTTTTTTTTATTTTTATTTGTTATTCGATTTTTTCAAGGCACAGCATCATCCCAATCATTTTCAGGAAAATCATTATGTATATTTTTTATTCTCTTATCACAAAGCATCTGTGACTTTTTTCATATCGCGGAGAAACAAGTTATCAAGTAACTTTATCGATTTGGTCTGTCAATATGTATGCTCTTAGAATGTCGCAAGACCTGTTCTGAAGTGTCATTTGCATATTCTCAATCGTCGATGAACCAGTGCTGTAGAGTAGCATATGGAAGTGTTGTTTTTTCATTGGTATCTATAATATAATTTTTGTTTTCAATTTATAGAATGTGAAAATCCTGTAAGAGTGTGGATGTTGAATGTTCGAGTAAATGTAACACAAACACACACACACACACACACACACACACACACACACACACACACACACACACACACACACACACACACACACACACACACACACACACACACACGCACGCACACGCACACACACTTTCCCCAAATCGACTAAATCACAATTATCCAGCCTATACACACACATGCTTCTGACATGACAATCGCAGATTTATGTATGAATTTATATATTCACTCTCGGTTGCAACGTTGCATTCTAGACGCCTGCAAACCAAAAACGCCTTATATCTGTAATACATAAGGGCGCTTGTGCCTCACTCCACCCTCAAAGGCGCCATAGTGTCTTCAATCGTACGTCTCTTAAATACAATGCTTTTAATCTTGTATTATATTTTATCTTGACTTTGTTTAGGCGAGTGACTCTCGATGTATTTTGATTAAGGAAAGCTTTTAGGATAAATGTTTGTGTTTTCTCTTTGTGTTTTATCGCCATCTTTGAGAATTTTTATTTTCGGGAGGTTGTGAATGTCTTAACAGAACGTTAGCAGGAAGTGGAAATCTAATAATGACCATATTATAGGACTAAAAATATGGTCAAAACAAATTTTTTAGCCGAATGTATAGCGAAATATACATAAAGGAATATTACCAAACGGAATATAAACACTATTGCTGTATTTCAGTTTAACATTTCATTTTCATTATAAAGATTAGCGGAATATATTGCGAATTTTTCTTATTATCATTTATTACGTTATCATCTTTATCACTTATTATAATTATTTTATTTTTTCATTATCATCTTCACATTTTTTGTTCCAACGCTTTCATCTTCATTGTATTATTTGGCAACTCCGTCATCATCCCGTTTTCTTTGTGACAACACTGCTCCTCCATTTTCTTTGCCATGTTTCTCCTCCGCGGATGACCTCTTGTGACCTCCGAATCACCCAAGACCCTAAAGTCTGGAGTTCTATGTAACCTTTTTTATCCGAGGAATACGGGTGAAAGGATAAAGTCAGGATGCCGAGGTTACTGTGTAGGAATTTCTTAACTGTTTGAGATGGCATTAAGACGTGGAGAACCAAGGAGCGTTGATATAAGAAGTGAAGAAAACTATGACTAGGCAACTTTCCAGACGTAAAGTTGCTATTTTTTCAACTGTTTACTTTTTCCTCTTCGTCTTTTTTTATATAATTATTAGTATCCTGCAAAAAATTACATCGCTATTTTAAAAAATCATGATTATTATTTTTTGTCAATTATCTAATAGAAATTAAAAAGGAAGAGTAACTCTCAATTTTTTTCTCAGACGAAGATAGAAATAGGGTATACTTGAAAAAATATGCAGAAAATCATATATACAGTTGCATTAAACAAAACCAAATATACTGTAGTATCAAGTAAAATCAAATATGCCTTTACATTAACTCTCCCTTCCCCGCGCGTGAATAAAGTAAACAAAGGAAGCCGTGAGAGCGTATTTTTATTCCTGATGGCGGTCACTCTGTCATGGTCTTTCTTTATCTCGATCTGCGCTAGGACACCCTGCCGTCCATTCTGCAACAGCTACTTTGACTGCAACATGCATCTCTAATCTTCTAGCATTTATATTCGAAGCACTGCGGGAAATAAGTGGCGGGAAGTACTTGTAAACTTAATTTTGTTTTCATAGTTTATCGAAATAGTTCATTAAAGGTCCTTGAAATGTCTTATTTTGCTGGAGTCTGTTGTGTTGAATGTACATTATATAAGCCAACTGCTCGTGCCTTATCATCCTTCCTGATACAAAGGCCACCTCTTAGTAAAGGACATTAACTCGCGCGCTGGAGTTTTCTGTGTTTGTTGTTTCCTCTCTCCTTCTTTGATCTTTGCCCTTGCTCTTTGGGCTATGTTTATTTTCCTCTTCCTTCTTCAAGCAGTTTCCAATCACCCCCCCCCTTTGAGTTTGTTTTTCTTTGTCTTCCTCCTCATTTATGCTTTCGGCAATTTTTGTTTACTTCTCATTTTTTTTCCTGTTCTCCTTCTTATTTGTCTTTCCTCCTCCTCATTCTTTGGTCAGTTTTCGTCTGCTTAGTTTCATTTTTCCTATTCTCCTTTCTCTCTGTTCTTCTCATTCTTTAGTCATTTTTTGTCTGTTTTCTCCCCATTTTTCCCTGTTCTCCTTCCTTCTCCTCATTCTTAAGTCAATCTTTATCTGCTTACTCCCTCTTTCCTCTATTTCACACCCTATTTTCCTATCTCCCTATTTTATTTGGCATTTTCCCCTACTTCCCCTCACCCTTTCCCGCCTCGGAACACGTCTAGCCTTTCCGGTCGCGCTCGGACAAGCTCATCCGTCCTACTGACTGAATCTGCGCGACACATAGTTCGTTACGTGGGTCTGGTGTGACGCTGCCAGATGTGCGTTTTTTTCCCTCCTATTCTTCTTCTTCTTTGATTTCATCCTTATTCTTTAGGCTATTTTTATCTGCTTACTCCTTTTCTTTCTCCTATTTCATATAATATTTTCCTCTTTTTGACATTTTTTCCCTACCTCCACTCATTTTTTCCCTCCTATTCTCCTTCCTCTTCGATTTCCGCTTCCTCATTCTTTATTTCTTATCTACTTACCCCCTTTTTTCCTATTTCAAACTCTATTTTCTTCTTTTTAGCCTTTTCCTACTTCCCCGCACCCTTTTCCCTCCCGTTTGTTACGTGATTTTTTTTCTCCTGTTCTCCTTCCTCTTTGATTCCCGCCTCATTCTTTGGTCCATTTTTATCTACTTGCTGCTCCTTTTCCCTATTTCACACCCTATTTCCCTCTTTTTGGCATTTTTCCTACCTCCTCTCACCCGTTTCTCTCTCGTTTGGTACGAAGTCTATTTATATCTGCTTATTCCCTTTTTCCCTATTTCACACACTAATTTCCTCTTTTTTAACATTTTTCCCTTATCTCGTTGTTACGTGACGCTGCTCGATGTGCAAAATTGCCAGAACCAAACCTGTTACGGAAGGGACTGCAAGAGGGAGACACTTTCACTCGGAATGCGAATTTCAT